ATTTTGTGCAAAATGACAGAAACTAGATCTCGATCATTCTGATGCCTGATATAGCAGCATTCGTGCATGGTCCTTTTCGCTCTGGACCTGGATGTGTGCAATACGACAGCGAATAGTGCATTCAAGTTTCTCTTTATTCACTGCAGGAGGAAACACCCAGAAACCAACGTTGCTTCACATTTACCGCCGCGATTGAATTGATATTACGGAAGGGCATCATCCATGTGCAATCTTGTTCAAGCGATATTACATCTCCACGAAATTTGCATTAATATAAGCTAACAATTAATAGCACAGCAGCATTCGTGTTTCGAGTGCAATGCTGTGTGATATTCATTCTTTTCGATCTTGATTTTGCGAGATGCTGGCACGTTTCCTCAGCAGTGATCTTGGCTATCCACACCAACGTTGCCGAATCTTATCAAGATAGTAGGTGAGGACCGAGGACGACATGGGATATCCCATTTGTAGGCTGACCGGTCGAAACTGGATGCGGAAAGTGCTAGTCACTGATATCCATGATGCTGTTAAAGAAGCGATTTATCCAAAGTAAGATTGAGAGCGCAACAAACAATTAATTAGGTCACGGCACGATAAGACTACTGCTGGTGTGTCTATGTCGATTGGTTTCTTATTGATTCCAGTTAACTAGAGCAGATTTATCCTCTGATCAGTAATCAAATTACCCGATATCGTTAATGCATCAATCAGCCTTGAATCTGTCACGGACACAAAAGGATATGATACTCGGTTCATCATGAAAATTCGCACGTTTTCAAATGCATTTGGGAATTACTTTCAATGAGAAATGAGGCAGGATAGAGCTCAGATTGATTTTCAACACATTTCGACCATTGTTTGCGGACGCGACTCGCATTGAATGAAAGTAGTACCCATCTTAAGCAATTCAACATGCTAATACAGTCGGAGACGATCTTCAGCTGACGCCTGTTCTCTCTAATAGACCCATCAGTTTGGTCACCACCTAAATCATCCCCCTGGCGAATGCTTCCGTTTGGAAACATGAACGTTCATCCATAGTACATCATCAAATTGATCTCTGACGATCGATTAATCCAATATGAGCCAGTAGCGGAGCAACAGTCTGTTATTGTCATATGCCACAATGGTTCAAAAGAGCGAACGGGCTGAATCTATTTTCATGATGCCCGGAGTATAATATCCCAATGTGATTTGCGTATCAAATATAAGATCTCAATGTTCCTATGGACGAATTCCGTTATTCAGTAACAAAGCATACGATGCATCATTTTATTGTTCATGGCAGTTTGATGCTTAGAAGCACTCGAACACAAAATCAGCAGCGGAGAGTTGTGCTATAGACGGTGATCACTGCATACTTTGCCTGCATAGCAAGGCTATCGAGCATAGTGATGATCTATTTATTGAATCATCGGATGAGCCCCACAATCCCAGGACTATCATTCAAATGCGTTCATCAAGCGATCTCGGATGATCCTCCGAAAATTCCTGCAGGACAAGTACTTCAGCCAGCGCCTGGTGGTCCTCCTCAGCCACATTTCGACGGATACGAATTCGCACCTGCAAAGGATCATTTGCACTGATCAGTAACGTATCGGAAGAGTTGAGTTAATCTTCACATTCAACTTACTGGACTTCTTTGCACACGATCATTTCGTGGTATGAGAGGAAAGTCGCTACATAATGTGCGGAAGTGATGAACTGAGACAACTCTCACGGTAATATTGTTGTTTTCCGTTATTCCCGAATAATTTCCGAATATCTTGGATATCTCG